AAAATTATGGGGAAAAATTTCAAAAAGAAAGAGACTTTGGAAAAAAAAAATAATAATATCGAGTGTGAAAGAGGGAGGGAAAAAGAAAAAAAGATAAAGAGAGAGAGAGAGAGAGAGAGAGAGAGAGAGAGAGAGAATGAGAGGAATGCTATACCACCACACTGCACACTATGGTGAAGTCATCGAAAGGGAAACAATAACCGAGAGAAAAGAGTACTGCGGTTAGGAACAAAAGGAAGGAAAAGGGGGTGACGAATGAAGCGCAATATCGCAAAGTGCTCTTGATAATTTTCTACGATGAAAGAACACACCTACCACAAGGAAAAAGGGAAGAGGGGATAGAAAATTTTAAGTACTTTTTTTTCACAAAAAAAAAAAAAAATTATATCAACTTCCTATAAAATAGAAAGAAAGAAAGAAAAAGAGAAAAATTTCATTTTTAATGGAAAAACAGAAAAATATTCCCTTTTATAATTTGTAAGATGAAAGAAGAACGATATATATATGTATATGTGTGCCCATAATTATGAAAGTGGTCTAAGTCAAAATAAAAAAAATATTAAAATGAGTTTATCGGTTATTACGCACCACATTATTTTAAACTAAATAAATTCAATGCAATTTGAAACCGATATTGTCAAAAATGAATCGTCAGATAATATTTGTTATTTCAATATTATATAGAATTCATATAGAGTGTTCAAATATAAATCTTGAAATATCTCGAAACAAGAGATACATGACTTAGTTAGACCACTTTCATAATTATGGGCACATATGTTTATCCAACGAAGCTTAAATTTATACTAACGACGTTGCATCTTTTCACCGAGTATATATATATATATATATATTTTATCGTATATACCTCTCGCAGCTGATCAAACTTTTTTTCACATCTAAAACATGCACGTAGTTAAACGCGTCAAGGATGCACACGCGTCGGCCTCATTCTCCTAAACAACACAACTAAACGTCAATGAATGACTTCGTAGAAAGCACGAGTTTTCTAAGCGTTCTTGAAATTCCAAATGAACGATCGAATAAAAATACTCGAATAATACGATATGTAATTGATATGTTAAATTATGTAAAAATGTATTATTATAATCGATTGAATAAATATGTAATAAAATAAAATAATGTAATAAAAAAGAAAAAAAAAGAAGAAAAAAACAAAAAAAAAGAAATAGTTATACGATACACCCTCCCTCTCATACATCGTAATACCTTTTTTTCTGAAAATGATTCCGAGAAATATTCTAGGATAGGCGTAACTTTATTCGAGAATACAAAAGAAAAATATAGAAACAGTTGGGAGGAAGAAGGGTAGGGGGTAGGAAAAAGGTGAACGAAATTTGGCGCCAAGCTCGTTTTATCCCGACTATAAACGACCATAAACGACGACAACGACGATCGCTCGAGGGTTAAGGAAAAAAACGTAAGTGGCGGTATAGTAAGGGGTACGAGGAGGAAGGGGGGAGGGGGTTGGAGGAAAAACGATGGAATACGGAGGGTGACGGGGGGGGGGATAAAAATGCGGCTCAATCAGCGTTTATATGAAAAACACCGGGCTATTCTGACGATGGTGGCTAAGTTGGGAAGAAAGTAGGCGGTGGGGTAGAGAGGGACGGGGTTGGAAGGGGGTTGGAGAGAAAACGGAGCTTTCTCTGATAAATAGCATGGACTTTGCGTCTCTTGGCGTCGCGAATATTTCTCAAGTGTCTCACTCTTGACTCGAAAAAGAGAGAAAAAGAGAAAGAGAAAGAAAAAGAGAGAGAAAGAGAGAGAGAGAGTGAGAGAGAGAGAGAGAGAGAGAGAAAGAAAAAGGTTTCTGTTCCACCGTCTTTTTACCTTCATTTTGAATGAACAACCAAGGGGTGTTTTCAACGCTTTAAAAGGTCGGAAGAAAAAGAACAAGTAAGAGAGAGAGAGAGAGAAATAGAGATGGAAGAATTTCTTACGTGATTTTTTACCTTCTAATACAGAAAATTTCAGAGACGATTCATTTTTCATAAAGTCTCTCCCTTTCTGTTTTATCTACGTAAAAATTTCCCTATCTGTCTCTCTCTGGTTACATATTAACACCATTTCGATGATTATTTTTTAACAAGAAAGTACTACTACTACTACTACTACTACTACTACTACTACTACTACTACTACTACTACTACTACACATGAATAAAGATGATACGTGCTTTGAAAATAAATTATAAATGTATATTTTGTATGATTATTAAATATGTAAAACACAGTACTCTAGCATTGGTATTGGGAGGGGGAAGGAGGTGGCTTTTGCCGTTCGTTTGCATACGAACATTTTGTTTTATTTTTGATGTATTTTTTTTTTTTTTTTAATTCTCTTTTTCTCTATTTTCTTTATTTTCTTTTTTCAAGTTTTAAGAAAAAGTGGTGGTGGTGGTTGAGATTGCACGTTGGTCCTTGAGAAGCTTGGAAGGCACTCGTTGGAATTGGTTGTAAATGCTGGGATTTCCGTGGGCTTTTGAAGATCATGTACCCACGCTATAATATCCTCTGGTAATTTCAAGCGCCCTCATTAGGGCGTCTCCTTGGAAAAGCGCACCCTAATGATAACGAGAGGGCAATCAACGTTTTCATTTGAAAGATATTTTCCTGCATTATTTTGCTTATGTTATAATAGTGTGTTTTATTTCCTTTCCTTCGTTGTTACTGACATTCTCGCAGTGAGAATATTATTAACGTTGTCCTATTTCACATGAAAGTGATAAAAATATTCTTACCAAAGCTCTCTCTCTCTCTCTCTCTTTAAACGATCGAACTTTTACGTTCCCTACTACTACAAAAATATTCCATCCTTTTTGCATAATTTATAACTCGCATTATAAGAGGATGAATAAATGTAGGTGGGTTGGTAAATAGGTAGGAAGAATGCAGTAGATTCTTTGGGAGGTGCCATCAGCCGCATTTATGGGGTTAATGTAATATGAAAACTATCGTTAAATGTACATTTTATCGAACGAAAATACACGCGATGATGAGTCTTCAATTTACTTTATTCTAAAAGTTTTATCCATCGTTGCCTTTTCTTTTTTCATTCTATTTGTGTCGAATGGATAATAATAATAATAATATTAATAATAATGATAATGATAAAAAGGAAAAAAAAATATGAATAAAACGCCAACGTTGTTTTTTATTGTCTAACCGACCGAAATGAGATGAAAGGAGACACACACAATTAAAATATATTCTGTAATAATATTATATATTATACAGATATTTAAAATAAAAAGGATATTCATTTGAGTTCGTTCGGTGTATCCTTTGAATCAGGTCCTTTAGAATCACACGATTCGATACAAACTCGGGAATTGACTCGAAGAGAGGTGCTTTTGAAATCCAGACGAGTAGTCTCGTTCTACTTTGAAAATTCGATCTAAATTTAGTTAGTATTTAGTACAGTCTCTCTGACAGAAGAAAAGAGAAAGAAAAAGAAAAGGAAAAGAAAATAAAAAGAAATAATTCGAAAGAAGAGTGTATAGAAAAAGGGTTGGATAAAATTAAACTATCGATTAATAAAAAAAAAAAAAAAAAAAAAAAAAAAAAAAA